AGCTGGCTTGTTACCAGAATAATATAAAAATAACTAGGCATGGGATTTTCAGATTTTTTTGGACCACAAATTCCATAATTCTCCATTTTGGGAGTTTCATCTGACAGACCCACACCTACAGACATCTGAATATATTTCACCTAGGGAAAAGGCCTAGCATGGGTCTAGCTCTGCCCTAGCTTCCTGTTCAGAAAAGAAGCACACAGTAGGGCAGCTTCCTTTCTGAACAGGAAGCTAGGGCACAGCTAGCCATGCCAGGCCATGAAGCCTTCCCAGCTTGGCCTTTCCTCCAGATGAGCCACATTTAAGTGTCTGCAGATGAAGCTCTCTCAGATGGGACCAGAATGGAGAATTAGCCCTCAAAATCTGGAAAATTCAGTACTTATAAATAACAGTTTTAATGTTAATGTGTGAAACTAACATTTCCATATTCTGCCAAGTTGACATCTCAGTTCAGTGGTATCATAAGAAATGCTTCAAAATGAGACTGTGAGACTTGGAATGAATAAGGAAGAAACAAAGACTTTTGTGTGTATGTTTTCATAAACGCATCAATAGCTTAGCATTCAAGATGATATCCTACTGCACTATCATTCCATTCAAAATTTTCCCAAGTAAAGAAGGCAAGGTTAGGTCAATGGATGCATGGGAAAAGAACTTGGCATGCTACCAGAAGAACTGATAGTGAATCAACAATATCCCTTTAATATATGACCCCAATGACTTTATCCCATTTGGCATAGTATCTATCATCCTCACAGCATAATTTCTAACAAGATACATGCTGCCAAAGGTTTGAGGGAGAAAGATTGTTGAGACTGTGAAGTGCCATAAATCAGACTAGAACATTTCCTTAATACTCAGGTGCCTTGATAAAAGAATGTGTGAACGTGAGGAATTTTATGTAGACGATAAATACATTTTATTTTATTTTATTAATTCTATTAATTAGAAGGACTAGAAAGCAATTAAATGTTTCACTGACAAATGCTAGTGCCTTCCACTGAGTAACAGATTAATGAGCAAATTAAATATAGTACTGGCTGACAGTTCTGATTTACCTTGGCTAAGCAATAGAGACAAGCTGTTTGCAAATTTATGTAATCTGAAATTAATACTTCATTTCCAGGGATATTATTTTGGATTGCCACCAATTTCTGCCTAAAGCAGAAAGATAAATGTGCGCATCCACTGTTGTTCTCATAGGGATCTCTCCCCCCGCCCCCCGGCCTTTGTAATTATTCAGTAGCCAGTTTAAAGGGTATTTTGTCTGTTGTTGTTGAACTCCAATTTTAATTTTTTATTCTTAATTTTAAATAGTGTTAGATGCATGAATGGACACTTCTGGGGGAATCTAGAAACAAACAAACAAACAAAAAGACTAAAAATGTGTGATATAATGTGATATTAATCATGGTCCACAGGTAAACTTCTGAAACCTCCACAAAACCCACAGATGCTTTGTTTGGCCCTAGATAAATGCATATTTATCTTCAAAAATGTTGTGAGTGCTCAACATTGAGGTTGTATAAGGGAGTTGGAGGCTGACAGCTGCCTTCCTCACTTTACAAATGCACCAGGTTTGAGCAACCACAAAATTGAAAGGAGTCTTGTATAACAATGCAAAAATTAAATTAAATTTAATTTAAAAAATTAAAATTAAAAAAATCTTAGTCTTGATTTGATTGTATTTCTCCAAATCCCACTTTCCTGTCAAATCACACTTTATTCATATCAAATTATGAGTCTTTGAGGAGGGGGGCAGTTGTCATGGAAACTCATACTCATTTCACAAAAGTTTTTGCTGCAATGCAACTATATATTACACACTTTCCCTAATGTATCTGTTCTCCCTATTAACTAAAGCATGTTAATGTACATTTTTCACTTGTATATATTTTAGCTAGGCACTTTTTAAAAAGAATGCATTATTTAATGTGTACACAGCAGCTGAAATCCTGTTGTTTACCACAGTAAATCACAACTAGAGTAGGCCCACTGGAATCAATACAACTTACAGAGGAATTGCTTCATCAAATCATCACTGATTCACTGTAGGGCAAGTTACAGTGCTAAGCAATAGGATTTCATAATTGTGCTGATTTCTGAAACAAGCTGTACTTTGTTCTCAGATGTAGTGGAATGAGTAAATCAGGAAGAATCTCAAAGCCACCAGATTTTAAACTCCATCCTTTGTTTTCTAAATGCACCACAGCTGTATGTTTAATGGCTCTGCAGGAAACCCTGGTGGGTGTTTTTTAAAAATCCTCCCATGTCTGACACTACTGTCGGGTGTGGCCGCCTCTCTTACAAGAATGGAGACAGCAGTTAGAGGAGGGTTGCCAGGAAAAGGAACGTGGCCAAAAAGCTCATCTGCCAGCTGGCGAGTGACAAAAATAACATGTTTTTTTCCACATAAGAATCATGGATTCACAATGCCCGTGATTTTCTGTCAGGAAGTGATATAGATGTTGTCATTAGCAGCAGCCAGAGAGGCTTGTCTGTGCTTTGCATGTTTGTAACTTAACATTGTGCAAACGATTTTTTGCTAAACTACTATTGGCACAAACTTTCATGAACTGTAAGTCACATCATCAGATGCATTTCTTTGTGGTATGGGAAAAAGAAGGGTAGGGTTCACAAAAGTTTGTGCCAAATTAAAACTTGGCTGTCTTTATAATACTGAGTATAGTGAAACGTTTTGTTGCGTTTTTGTTTTTGTTTTTTTCAGTTTGAGTAATTTTCGGGAGTGCTTCTCTCACTTTCATTATTTTTCACATATTTTGTTTGCCAGCTCTTTCGTTTTACACAAAAAGGAAAGTCTCTTTTGGATTTCCCATTTATTTTTCCCCATTCATGTTTTCATGCACTCCTAAAGTCTTGATGAACCCTTGGAAACTACTCCAAAAACACTCCAACCAAAAAACGGAAGCAAGACAACACAGAATCATTCTACTCAAAAACAGGCAACAATACACGAGAAATTAAAATCATCGTCAGACCTATGCAGGCCGTAGTTTATATTACCACATTCATCATCACCATCCAATAAGTGAGAAAGAGAAATCATCAGGCAATAGTTTATATACATTTCATCAACACCACCGGAGGCCACACAGAGGTGCTCCTACTGCCAAGATATATTCACCACCACCAGTTCTACAGACAGAGCAAAAATACCTCACTTGCCCACAAAGCAATTCAAAAAGAAGTTAAGTACCCAAAAATTAGAAAAGAAAATAGCAGTAGAAGTTCAGTGCCGCCCACCAAAGACAACAGATCCTTTGGACCTGGGCAGCACCACACACAAAAAATAGTAAGGAAGTAGGCAGACACCGGCTGCCAAGAACACAGACACACACTCAACCAAAGCAACTAACTGCAGCACAACATCAAGAACAACAAGAAAGACATGCCCCAAGATGTGACTAAGCAAAAACAACAACCATTCACATAGTCCAATTGCATACTGACACAGTGACAAAATTCATTCCCTTAGCCCTTATCTATATGGAGTCCCCCTCTAAAACAAAGAAAAGCAAACAAGCAGATGAAAACATTTGCCGGGGGTTTTGACAGACAAAGGGTGAAAAAACCCATAAGTTTACATAAAAGAGGGAACACAAAAGAAACACAACACTTCTGTGGCCTCCTCTTTTGTAAGCATGAATCATTGGTGTTTCAGAGGCTGTCTTTCAGAAATCACTAAAAGAACAGGGATTACGTAAAAGAAAGTCTTTATATGTTGGTCTTTCATTTAGACACAAAAGACAGATCCCTAGATGCTTCTGGACACTTTGTTTTTCACTGCAACAGGCCAACATGGTTAACACTTTGGGAGCTACTCCAGTCAGCGATTCCTGAGCAGGGGAGTGGGGTGGGGGGGAGATGCTATTCATTGCCTTTGTTGCCACTCTTAGTCACAGGGAAGGTTGTCTTCACCTGCTGTGTCCCCCTCCCCCAGCATGTGTTATTTGTGTCATTTTGCAAAAGAGGAAAAGACTGAACAGAGGGTGAGTAGGATTGGAGTTAGTGGATGCACAGGTAAGGAGTGTCTGCTGTGCCCTCCTTGATCTGCCTTGTGTTTTAAAAATCTGATGGGATATTCATAGTTAAGTCTGTTTGGTCATATTCTTGCCACTCAATTATCTTAGAATAGAGCCCTATTCAGGCTTTATATCTGCACCATCATAAATGCTGCCAATATGCTCACATGCAATGTCTCAACTCTGTAAATTCCCATATTGAGCTATGAAGTCTATGGAGGGACACTTCAGACATTTGGCAGACCTAAGGATGTTTAGTTGATCAGGTAGCCCCATAATAATGTGTTTGCTAAGTAAGTTCAGCTAAATGCACTGAGGCTAAGCCTTCAGAATATCCTACTCAGACTGGAGGAACAGAATAGAGTTGGCATATCAACCACCACACCAACTTGAACACACCTGATCTTGATTGATTTTGGAAGCAAAAGTGGATCACACCTTGTTTTCACTTGAATGGGAGGCCACCATGAAATAACATGGATCTGTACTAACAAATTCTGTTTGTAAATCTGGAAAGCCACAGCCAGAGTTGACAATACTGGACTACACAGTGCAATGTGTGGCTTAGTGTAAGGCAGCTTTCTATGTAAGGGCATTGGGGCACACCCAACATATGGTCTTACTCCCATTTTGCAAATGTACAGTCCTAGATAAGACTTCAATTTGTGGACAGTGTGAGAGCTGGTTGGCTAATCTGAGGAGATAATTTACATTAAATTCTTCTCTCTCTTTTTCAGAACTAGACTAAACTGTCTGAACTATATATGCATCCTTGTTGGCTGTCCCCTACCCCTTAATTTTCCCCCAAGGTTAAATGACTACAGTCAGTAAATATTATTTGAGTCTCATTGCTTTCAATAAATTGGGCACTTCAAGTAAATATGTAGAAGAATTCTACTTCTGAATTTATGAATTGCCTACATAACTATTTTAAAAAGTATTCTTTAACTTTAGGTTGCTCGGAACCTCTGGGAATGAAATCAGGACATATACAGGACTATCAGATTACTGCTTCAAGTGTCTTCAGAACACTCAACATGGACATGTTTACATGGGAACCTAGAAAAGCTCGACTAGACAAACAAGGCAAAGTGAATGCCTGGACATCAGGACATAGTGACCAGTCACAGTGGCTACAGGTGATAATTTGTCATTGTTATTGGGTTTCACTTTTGCATAGGACAGAAAAGCAAATGACGTTTCAAGTGAAACACATGAACATGCACATGGGCAAATGAGTAGTTTTTATTCCTGGGTGAATAAAAATGCAGGCATATATCTGAATTTATAGTCCTTTAACCCAGTGGTCCCCAACCTTAGACCTCCAGATGTTCTTGGACTACAACTCTCAGACGTTGTCACCACCACCTCTGTTGGCCAGGGTTTCTGGGAGTTGAACTCCAAGAACATCTGGAAGCCCAAGGTTGGGGACCACTGCTTTAACCTGTCAAATTTATGACTTCAGTTATTATGATTCAATATATGCAAATAGACAGGTAGAACTCCCCATGTTGGAAAATTGTGGTTGAAACATGGCTGTCTCAGACATTCTCCACTGCAGAGTGACAGATTAGAAATTATAGAAATATGATTTCTGGAGGAAACTGGCCCAGTCAGTGTTTAGGTACAAGTAGATTTCTGCAGCTGGAGTTTGTCCAGGAAGTTGGCTTTGTCATGCGTTGGCTGTGTTCAGCAAAGCCAAGTCCCTACCCTAGAGAGCAGGTGCTAAAGCACTGCTATGGTGGAAGTTCTGCTTGGGGCACCTACCCTATCTTGAGCTTGCCCTTATCAGGATGGATGTGAGGTAGTTGAGGCTCAGCTAAGTAAATAACCAGGTTACCTCAAATCATATACCTTTTTGTTCTTTCAGTTTGAGAGACCAACCGCATCTTGGGAAATCTCCCTGCACCAGGGTGTGTAGAAGGGGCAGTGCTAGAGGAAGAGGACAAAACTTACTTCAGGCCAGATGGGATACTCCTCTGGGTTTGGCTAGATCTGAGCATTAGAAGTTTCCCATCCGTGATATGCCTGATGATGCCACTGAAAGAATCGTGGAAGTGAACTGATAATAGATAATCCTAAACCACAGTGCCAGCACTGTTTTATGTGATTGTATGGCTGTGTCATGTCTGTGCCATAGCAATGGAAGCAAAATGGGTGATTTTGATGGAAGCAAAGTTGATGACTTAATTTTTAAAGCAAATGTGCAAAACTAAATTTTCAAGGGCAAAATTATGGAGATGAAAATTATCAAAAGGCATTGTTGTTGTTTAGTCATTAAGTCATGTCTGACTCTTCATGACCCCATGGACCAGAGCATGCCAGGCCCTCCTGTCTTCCACTACCTCCCAGAGATTGGTCAAAATCAAAAGGCATAGCATTGTAATTATTTGTTGAAATGAATGAATGCTCAAAATAGAATATGATTGTTATGAGTCAGTATGTGATAAGAAACAGATAGAACTGCCCATGTTCTGAATGAAATCTGAAAAATACAACATATTCCATTTCCATCTACACTTGGTGACTTCATTTCATTTTTCTAAGTTGTTATTTTTGGCTTCAAAGATTGCATTAGGCTTCTTGAAACAGTTCCAGATCTGCCTTCCTTTAACACATTTAGCCATAGCAAGATTGATTCAGCACCATGAAGTCATTAAGAAGCTGTTCACATAGCTTGTTTTCTGTATTAGGATGATATACAGAAGTTCCTGGGTAGGCTAATATGTAAAAGAGCAACAAATCACCAAACACAAGACGATTTGACCAGTCACTGCTCTATTTGCATATTAGAAGCATTGTATATTGCAGTGATTTGAATCTGCTGTCAGAGAGGAATGGGATTCTCAGCTTGAAGCCTTAACTGCAGCAGAAGTGTACTACTAGCCCCCTGCAATCTTTCCATATATAAATTATGACATATTAGATTTTTTGCTTTTTCCCACCTGCAGTTGCTAAGCAGTTTAGCAATGTGATTACTGTCTTCACTCTGAAATTGCATCTGGGGAGGGAAGGTAGAGGAAAAAAGGACTAACAACTGTATGGTCTCAGTAATTAAGGATGCCTAGATTCACTCAAGTTGTTAACACACTGACTACACAACCTACTTGCTAAGAAAAAGAGTGCAAATGTGCCATATAAACCAGTTGCATGAGAGATCCAAAGTGTGGAAGTATTTTTGGAGTACACCTCCTTAAATCCCCCAGCCTGCATGTTTGCTGAGGGGTTCAGTAACATTTCCAGCACTTGGAGGAATCCAGATGGTTGGATAGCTCAGTGGTTTAGGTATCTGGCTACAGAGACAGAGGTTGGGAGTTTGATTCACTCCTATAAGTAGAGACAGCGTGTATGGCCCTGAGTAAGTTGCACAGTCCCAGGGAAACCCTCAAAAGAAGGGAATGATGAACCACTTCTGACTACAGTGGTGCCTTGCATTGTGACGTTTTGCAGAACAAAAACGTCGCAATGCGAAATAAAAAAGCCCATAGAAACACATTAAAACGCAATTAATGCGTTCCTATGGGCTTAAAACTCACCGTTCAGTGAAGATCCTCCATAGCGCAGCCATTTCTGCTGTCTCTTAAGTGAGGAATCCGTCCCAGAAAACAGCGGGCGGCCATGTTTTTTCCCCAGCGGCCATTTTGAAACCACCAATCAGCTGGCCGAAAATGGTCGCTTTGCGATGATCAGTCACTGTATTCTCTAACTTGAAAACCTAAGGTTTGCCTCAGAATTGATGACACATGATTCTTATTTAGAAACAGCAGCAAAATGCACTAGAGCTGGGAAAGAATAAGCATGCTCTGCTGAAATCATAGGATGTCAAAGTTGAGAACAACTCAGCTGTACCAAGACTTTGTTAATTGAAATGCCTCTCCTGAAAGGTGGATTTTTGCAGGTGGATTCAAAGACCATCCCAAATGACATACTGAACCTCAAAGCAACTCTGTTTAACATGATTGAGAACAATCCAGGCTGGGAAAATTCAGTCATCTAGTCACACTCTTAGATTGTCATTAGAGGGTGGAATTAGCCATGTGTATAGTAGTCCTTTTTATCATATTTGGACTAAAAACCAAGCTAGACTTGATATTCTGCTAAATAGTCAGTAGGAGCTTCCCTTCTTTTGAAAACAACAGCTATCTGCAGTTGCAAATTCCGAACATAAAACGTTGCTGAGGCAAAACAAAGCATCTCTCTGTAGTACCATGGTCTTAGCCTTGTATCTGAGCACACACTTGCCAGTGCTACTTAACAAGTGAAAAACAAGCATGTAATATGCAATCAAGCAGTGAATGTCACATCATGTTGTAATTCCTGGAGGTGGCAGTTTTTAGTTGAGGCTTAAGGAACTGTCCCATAAGAAACCATTGTGACCAAGCCCCACCTGCTGAAAAATAATGACCAAAATTATTTATCGTTTTTGAATGCTACCAGGAGCAGTAGTTCCGAACCTATGTACCATCCCAAAACACAACAATTTTTTTAAAAAATGTATCATTTATTTCTTTATTCGATTTCTATACCGCCCATCTGACCAATGGTCACTCTGGGCAGTGTACAACAGTGATAATTGCATAAAATAACATAAACATAGTTAAAAGAGAAGTTAAGACATTGTGTTTAAAAACAGGCAGCAGACAAAAGTGATAGGCTGATACTCTCAGAGGCTATTCAGGTGGGATATTTTGAAAAGCCTGCTGAAATAAGAAGATTTTAAAGGAATTTCTTGAAGGTTACTTAGGGGGGAGGCAAATTTGGGATGGTAGCTCATTCCAAAGCTGTAGAGTGGCCACCGAGAAAGCCCAGTCCCTTGTTTTCATCTTCCAAGCCTCCCTTGGTGTTAACATCCTCAGCCATCTAACCTGGCTATACGAGAAAGACGGGCAGTTCCTTTTTGGACATAGGTGTTCTCCATATACTGAGGTCTCAAACTATTTAGGACTTTTTCAAGTCAAAAACAACACATTGAAGCTGATACAGAACTGGACCAGTAACCAGTGCAAGGTGGCCAGTATCAGGGGAGATATTGCTATTTATTAACTCCCCTCACTAACCTGATTGCCATATTCTGGACCTGTTGAAGTTTCTAGATCAGTCTCATAGGCAGCCCCACGTAGATAATTCAGTTATGTAGTCCCACCAGAAGTCACAGCAGAAATGGTGTGACTTCATAAAACCAGAAGTGTTTTAAGAACCTGATCACTTCTTTTTTTAGATCCAGCTTTCCCCAAACACACTACAGTATTTTCAGCCCACATCCCCACAATGAGTCTTGGGGACAAGAAACAGGCTCCTGGACCACTGGAACCTGTCCATTCCTACCTAAAACCATTTCTCAAGGTTCAGAGCAATATTGATCCAAGCTAGGACAGGAGACCCGTGACAGCATGGATTACCCTCTTCTTGTTTGACACATACAGTCTGCATTCCTTTCTCTCTCTTTTCCTTTAAGAATAAAAAAGAATCTTGCATGCAAAATTAAGTGGCAAAAGGGAAGGAAACTAACAATCCCTTGCCGTAGGAAATGTATGCAGGCATGGCTCATTTCCGTCTGTTTAGCTGATCCCAAGAAGCCAAATTCATGCGGAGTCAATATAAGATTACTTTGTGGCACATTATTCCGCTGCTGGTGACAATGGGCCTGCAGTTGTGTACAGATGGGTAGAGAATTAGAGTAGTGAAGAGGAGAGGCAGTGACAGACCTTATTATTTTCTCTAACAATTTCAGTTGTTTTCCTAATGCTTTTTTCCTGTTATACCTGATTGAGTATACAAATTGATTCATTCTGCATCCAGGTGGCTGCTGGCAGATTGTCTTCCACTCCAAGGAGAATAATGCCTCTTCTTTCACCCTCTTCAAACGATACAAAATCCCTTTAAGGCAAGAAATAGTTTGTGAAAGAAATTATTCCTATTTAAGAAACATAAAAGGATACAGATAGGAATTCATAAAATTTTATGACAGTGCAACTCTTCTTTATCGATGTGAAAGATGAAAGTGATAGGTGCAACAAATATCATGCATAACGGACATAACACAGTTTAGTGACACTTTACAGATAAGTAGGTTTCCTTTGGCATACAATTTCGTGGAGTGCAGTCCATTTCATCAGATGGAGGAATATGGAAAAGGAGC